TATTAAAGAAAAAAACTTTTTAGAAAAAAAAACATGGGCAAACTTTGAATGCTGGAATGGATTTGTCAAATATTGTTGTATGGTTGTGACCAATTGTGTTAAATTGTGTTAGAGGTGACCATGCAGTGGGTCCCTCTAGTGGTAAAAAAGGAGTGAAGTGAGTAGTTTTTCCATGTTGGAGAGAGTGTGGACTCCATGCGGGGTGAAGTTGTGACATGTTTGTTGGTCACACGTGATTTGAATGTAATGTAAAACTGTAAAATAATTTTTAAAAAAATTGAACCAGCGCAAGTTTTTATTACTTTTAACTACAACATTTGGTGCCGCGAGCCGGGAAACATGTATAGCAGGACTACAGTGTCAAAGATTTGCACGCCTTAGCCATGTCTAAATTAAGGAAAACCAGAGCTTCATTTAGAGGATGGGTCACTCGTTCTTGTGAACAAATAAGAACACTTTTGAAAGAACAAGAGGATACTGACACTCTAAAGGACTGTATTGCTGATTTTGAAAAGCGAATTTCCAAGCTGGATGAGGTTCAGTTGGAAGTAGAATTAGAGTTTGAACCGACGGTGAGTTGGAAGCACACCAACGCGAGGCGGTAGCATTCAGGGACACGGCCAAGGGATGGTATATAAAGGTCACGAAGAGGGTATCTAGTGAAGCTCCAACTTTCATTGACCAAACGCGAGAGGTGAGCAGTGATATAAAACAATGTCCGTCCGCTAAGCTGCCAAAAATAGACTTACTAAAATTCTCAGGCAATGTCTTGGATTGGCCCATTTTTTCGATCAATTTTGTGCAGTCATTGACAATAATAAGGACATTTCCACTATTTCCAAATTTGCATATCTGCGCTCTTTGCTAGAGGGAGAGGCCCTGGCCACCATTGCAGGCATAACACTTATCAAAGACAACTACGAAGTGTCAAAAAGACTATTAGTAGATAGATTTGGAAATAGTGAGAAAATCATTTTCAATCACGTCCAGGAAGTATTGAAAATAACTCTGCCATCCAATCCAACCATTACTCAGTACTGGAAATTCTACAATGACCTAACAGTACATGTGAGGTGCTTGGAAAATTTGGGAATTCATGGATGACAATATGGAGTTATCCTCACGCCCTTGGTGATATCAAAGTTACCACAGACCATGAGACTGGAGTGGGCTCGTGACAGTTTGCATCGGAAGAGTGATCTGGAATGGTCCATGGATTTTTTTACACTGAGAAATTCAATGTATGGAAAGGTCACAGTCATTCACAATGGGAGTTACTACATGTGGTTCAACAGGAAAGTCAAAAACATTGCCATGTACTGCAGCAGTTTGCAGACAAGTGTGAGAAGTGGTAAATGTAGAAATTAGTCCCGGGGAGAAGGTGTCCATTGATTTCCTCATTGGCCTGGATTCATATTGGCGATTTTTCACTGGTGAAACCGTGAAACTTTCACAACATTTGATTGCTCAGAAATCCATTTTTGGTTGGATAGTATAAGGAGTAGTGCCTGTTTCTGAGACCTCTTTTGTTTCACATTCTCATCAGCTATTCTGTCTATCAGACTTCTCTGAAAAAGCAGCCCATAGTTTTTGGGATTTAGAGAGTGTAGGGGTAGCCAAGGATGAGTCATCCTTTTCAGATGATCGTCTGATGAAACATTTTGAAAATTCTGTGGTGCATTTAGCCAGTGGTAGATACGAAATTTCTCTACCATGGAAAAATGAATTTGCTAGAGGTAGTTTATTGAAAAACGAATCTCAGTCCAGAAAGAGATTGAATAACACCTCTAAAAAACTGGCTATAACACCTAGGTTAGATACTGCAGCTAGCAGTCAGCCGGTACCCCCACTTCCAAGTATGAGAGTGAACAATGCGCCACCTTTTTCTGTTTGAGGTTTGGACCATGGTGGTCCACTCTTTTATTGTGATACTGGCAGCAAGAAGTTTTATATATTGCTGATCACCTGTGCTGCTACACGGGCTGTGCATTTAGAGCTTGTAAGTTCTCTTTCAGCAGAGGAAACTTTTGAATGCAATTCGGCGTTTTGTTTGCCTGCCATGGTATGCCCTCAGTCATTATATCAGATAATGCACATAGATTTGTTGCAGCAAAGAAGCTTGTATTGCAGTATTTTGGTTCAAATAGTCCTAAGTGGCAATTCATTGTTCCTTTGGCCCCTTGGTGGGGAGGATGGTGGGAGCATTTGATGGGATCTGTGAAATCGTCTTTGAAAAAGACTATTGGCACACAGTCTTTGACTAGATGTGAATTAGAAATCACCCTGTTTGAGATAGAAGCCTGTATCAATTCCAGGCCACTTACCTTTGCTGCAGATGATGTAGAAGACCGGGTTTCTTTAACCCCTTCACATTATCTTGTAGGAAGACTGTTAACCAGTGGTCCTTTGAATGATTCGGAAGAAATTCCTGATATGAACAATGTAGACTTGGTTGCCATGTATGATCATAAAAATCAATTGTTGAACAAATTTTGGGGAAAATGGTCATCAGAATACATTCGTAACCTTCTATCTTGTCAAAGTAGTGTTTCAGGTGGGAAAGGGTTAAACATTGGATCATTAGTTTTAGTGAGAGACCAAAATTCTCCACCTTTATTATGGCCATTGGGAGTAGTGCAAAGGGTTTTTCCAGGTAGAGATGGTCTAGTCAGGTCAGTTGAGGTCAAAACTAGTAAAGGGTTAATTACCAGACCAATACAAAAGTTACACGACCTTGAAATTAGTAGTGGGGTAGGTTTAGAATCTTTGCCAGTAGAACCTGAGTTAGATGATCAAGGGGTTAACATTTCTACAGGAAAGCAACAATTTGACATTGATCATGCGCT